CCCACTGGGGATCGAGCCTGCATATGCCTTGACTGGGAATCAAACTGAGACCTCTTGGTTCATAGGTCGACACTCAACCACTGAGCCACGACAGCCAAGCCCCACTGATTTTTATGGCCAGATGTTGTGGGGGCTTCTCTTCCCGGCACTTGTGGCTCCTCAGGGGACACCTTTGCAGCTGAGATATCCCTCTGGTTTCTCAACCGCCTCACGTGTGTGGGGTTGGCCCATTTTGTCTCTCTGCCCCTTCTACTAGTCTTAATATGACTTATGTCTATTCTTAGTTACAGGATTTTTGTTTAGCTAGTCTTCAAATGGTTCTCTAGGTTGGTTGTTCTATAATTTAGTTGTAATTTTGATGTGGTCATGGCCTGCACCTATTCCTTCATCTTGACTGGAAACTAAAAATAATATATTTTTAAAAATTGCCTCCATTATTATAGTTGTCTTAAAAAAAAGTCTATGTTATTTAAAAAACATGTTACTTTCTCAACTTTACATAAATGTAGCCTTTTTCTACCAGACCTGATAATGATTCTAATGACCTAGTGTAAGAAAATTTACTGGCGATGCCCAAGTTTACTGAGTGTCATAGACTAGACCAGTGATGGCGAACCTTTTGAGCTCGGCGTGTCAGCATTTTGAAAAATCCTAACTTAACTCTGGTGCCATGTCACATATAGAAATTTTTTGATATTTGCAACCATAGTAAAACAAAGATTTATATTTTTGATATTTATTGTATATATTTAAATGCCATTTAACAAAGAAAAATCAACCAAAAAAATTAGTTCGCGTGTCACCTCTGACACGCGTATCATAGGTTCACCATCACTGGACTAGACCTAAGAAATAAACTGAGTTTTCAGGTTGAGAGGAATTATTTTGCAGTGTCATTGTGGAGACTATTTTGTAGTTTGAAAATTAATGATTTGGGTGTTAAATTTTAAAGGATGGTGAAATAATTCTTTTCCTGTGAAAATCTCAAAGTGCTCTACAAATGATAACTCATTAAGCCAAATGTTTTAATACTTAGCCTCACACTGTATTTGGTTATTCACATATAAGTATTGGACTGTCAGCCTTGAGTTGGTACATAATAATAGCAAAATCACCCTAGCCGGTTTGACTCAGTTGATAGAGCGTCGGCCTGCAAACTGAAAGGTCCCAGGTTTGATTCCGGTCAAGGGCACATGCCTGGGTTGTGGGCTCGATTCCCAGTGGGGGACTTGCACGAGGCAGCTGATCCATGATTCTCTCTCATCCTGGATGTTTTTATCTCTCTCTCCCTCTTCCTTCCTCTCTGAAATCAATAAAAATATATATTTTTAAAAATAGCAAAATCAACAATGCAAGAGGAGGATGTATATAAAACTGCAGCTGGAGAACGGTGGCTAGAGCAGCAGCTGAAATAAGGCATATCTGTTCCCTGACTTACTGCAACATTTTCCCTACAGGTGCTCTATAACCTTGTTAGTCAAAGTGTTGTCCAAGAATTAGCAACATCAGCATCCCTGGGAACTTGCTGGAAATGCAGAATATCAGGCTTCAACCCCAGACCTACTAGATCAGTCTAATCCTATATAATAAAAAGGTAATATGCAAATTGACCAGATGGCGAATGACCAGTCGCTATGATGTGCACTGACCACCAGGGGCCAGATGCTCAAAGCAGGAGCTGCCCTCAGCCTGCAGGCCACGATCACTCAATTGGGGCCTGCTGGCCAACCTCTCAGTCCCTTCCCCTGGCCAGCAGGCTCTGATCTCCTGATAGCGAACAGGGAACTGTGAGTGGGTAGCAATGGAGGGCGGGGCCAACTGCCAGCAGCTGGGGAAGATGGCCCTGATCGCAGGCCAGGCCTAGGGACCATATTTGTGCACGAATTTCATGCGCCAGGCCTCTAGTTGTTTAATAAGATCCTCAGATGATTCCTATTCACAGTAGCTTGAGAAGAACTCTTCTAAAGACTAAAGAGACCCTAAGGGTTTGCAAAGTTTGCTATAACTGAGTCCTCTGGCTTTACCATTTCACAACCTTGACTAGGACAGCAAGTTTTTTGGTAATGGGTATCATGGTTACTAGGTATTATTATTTTTTCTTTTCCCAAAGAGACAGATATCTAATCTAATAAAAGAGAAACATGCAAATTGACCACACCTCCGCTACACCCAAGCCATGCCCACCAGCCAATCAGAGCGACTATATGCAAATTAACCCAACCAAGATGGCAATCGGCAGCCACGGAGCTGGAGCAAGCAGGAGGCTTGGTTGCCCCAGCAATGGAGGAAGCCAAGCTTCCCCCCTGCCCTGGCCGGCTGTGGCCTCCGCTCAAGGCAACAAAGTTTCAATTATAGGAGATAAATAAATCCCAGATACCTGCTTCCAGCCAGCCTCCACTGGGAGCTTGGGTGGCTGGGGGCTGTGGCCAGCCTGCAAACAGCCATCAGCCACTTACCCAGGCTGGCCACACCCTCATGGGGTGAGGGTCCCCACTGGGGGCCTTGGCCAGCCTGCAAACAGCCATTAGCCCCTCACCCAGACTGGTCAGGCACCCCAGCAGGAACCCCAACCCTAAAGGGATGTGGCCAGTCTGAAAACGGCCCTCAGCCCCTCACCCAGGCTGGCCAGGCACTCCAGCAGGGACCCCCACCCAAAAGGGGATGTGGACAGCCTGAAAATGGCCCTCAGCCCCTCACACAGGCTGGCCAGGCACCCCAGCGGGACCCCCACCCTGATCCGGGGCACCCTTCAGGGCAAACCAGCCAGCCCCCACCCATGCACCAGGCCTCTATCCTATATAATAAAAGGGTAATATGCAAATTGACCCTAACAGCAGAATGACTGGGTATGACTGGTCACTATGAGACACACTGACCACCAGGGGGCAGACGCTCAATGCAAGAGCTGCCCCCTGGTGGTCAGTGCGCTCCCACAGGGGAAGCTCTGCTCAGCCACAAGCCAGGCTGACGGCTGCCAGTACAGCGGTGGTGGTGGGAGCCTTTCCCGCCTCCTCAGCAGCGCTAAGGATGTCTGACTGCAGCTTAGGCCTGCTCCCCGCTGGTAAGTGGACATCCCCCGAGGGCTCCCGGGCTGCCAGAGGGATGTCTGACTGCCAGCTTAGGCCCAATCCCCGGGGGAGCGGGCCTAAGCCAGCAGGTGGACATCCCCCAAGGGGTCCCAGACTGTGAGAGGGCACAGGCCGGGCTGACGGCCCCCCCCTCCCCGAGTGCACAAATTTTTGTGCACCGGGCCTCTAGTCTATATATATGAAGAGCCAGGGTCTGTAATGTCCAAAACAACCGAACAGATGACCGAATGCCAGGCTGTGTGTGCAGCAGGCTCGGGTGGGCAGGGACTGGTGAGCGGGCTGAATTGCAGACATCTCGGTCCCTCCCTCTCGCCAGCTCCTGTAGGCACCATGGTGACCCAGCACTGACTGCTGCTGCTGCGGGCATCGTGGCAACCCAGCACTGACTGCTGAGGGGCTGTGGGCCCTGGGACATCATGGCACCACGGTGAGAGGGTGCTGTGGGCCCTGGACAGCTGCGGCATGGTGGAATTCTGGGTCTCACACGATGGGGGGCGTGGCCAGCTTTCAAACTGGACTCTGACAGGAGGGAGGAGGGAGCCCCATTCCTTGCAGAATCGGCCATTGGATAGCTTGCTGTCAGCGGTCTGCCAGCCAGGAATCCCATTATCTGCACCCTGGACCCCGATGACCAGGCAGGGGAGAGCAGTTAGGTGTGAGATCAGGCCAGTAGGGGATGGCAGTTAGGGTCGATCCGGCCAGCAGGGGAGGGCATTTTGGGCGACCAGGCCTGCAGGGGAGGGCAGTTAGGGACGACCAGGCCGGCAGGGGAGGGCAGTTAGCAGTGACCAGGCTGGCAGAGGAGAGCAGTTGGGGGCGAGTGGGCTGGCAGGGAAGCAGTTAGGTGTCGATCAGGCTGGCAGGGGAACAGTTAGCGGGTGATCAGGCTGGCAGGCAGGCTAGCAGTTGGGAGCCAGCAGTCCCGGATTGTGAGAGGGATGTCCCCCAAGGTGTCCCAGATTGGAGAGGGTGCAGGCCGGGCTGAGGGATAGCCTCCCCCCCCCTCAAATTAGCACTTGTCTTAAACTTGTAACTGTTATCTTAGATAATTGTTTATCAGGAGAGTATTTAGTGTTATTTTGTGCACGGGGCCTCTAGTCCTATATAATAAAAAGCTAATATGCAAATTGACTGAATGACAGAACGACCAGTTGCTTTGACGTACACTGACCACCAGGGGGCAGATGCTCAATGAATGAGCTGGCCCCTGGTGGTCAGTGAGCTCCCACAGGGAGAGCGCTGCTCAGCCAGAAGCTGGGCTCATGGCTGGCAAGCACAGCGGTGGTAGTGGCAGTCTCTCCTGCCTCCGCGGCAGCACTAAGGATGTTCAACTGACGGGCCTAAGCCATCAGTTGGACATCCCCCTGACGGCTCCCAGACTGTGAAATGGCACAGGCCGGGCTGAGGGACACCCCCCACCCTCCGCCCCCGAGTGCATGAATTTTGTGCGCTGGGCCTCTAGTAGGTTATAAATTCAGATTCTGGAGTCAGATTGCTGGGGTCACATCCTGGCCCTGCCACTTGTATCTAATTTCCTTTTTTATTGAGGGCACCTGTGATGAGCAAAGGTATCTCCCTTACCACCTCTTTGATTTGTATGGTACTGTAATTGAGCTACAAATAAACATTTGGGGTGTTTGTGAGATTCATTCTTGTCATCATTACTGGATTTGTGGTTTCTTGTCCCTAAGTGAAGCAGCAATGAATGAAAAGTAGCTGGAGTTTGGAAAACTTTTAAACTTAAGTAAAGAAATGTTCTTGCTAATGAATAATAGGAGACTTTTCAGCCTCTGAAAAAAGTGTACAGATAGATTTAAAAGTGATGGGAAATCTCACTGAATTATAACCTACTGGAACATTTTACCAGCAGCCCTTAGAGACTTACCAGCATTCTGACCTTGTTTTTCACAGGGGGCAGCTGGCATTTTATGCTATGTGGGAGCCTATGTCTTCATCACTTATGATGACTATGACCACTTCTTTGAAGATGTGTATACTCTCATCCCTGCTGTAGTGATTATAGCTGTAGGAGCTTTGCTTTTCATTATTGGGCTAATTGGCTGCTGTGCCACAATCCGGGAAAGTCGCTGTGGATTGGCCACGGTAAGTTAGTGCTTCATTGACTATATGTGTCATCGTATTATGTGGGAATATTTCATTTGTGTTACTTGCTTTGAATTAAGCATGACACTGCATAGATTGGCTCCTATTGTTGGAAGAGAATTAGCACTTGTCTTAAACTTGTAACTGTTATCTTAGATAATTGTTTATCAGGAGAGTATTTAGTGTTATTTTTATTTGTATTTAATTTTTGACTATGTTTCCTTGCAGTTTGTCATCATCCTACTCTTAGTTTTTGTCACAGAAGTTGTTGTAGTGGTTTTGGGATATGTTTACAGAGCAAAGGTATGTTGTCTACTATAATTTATATGCTTTAAAAGGTGGTTTAAGTATTTCAGGTGAAATAGACCAAATTCATTTTATCAAAGTAAACATTTTCTTTTGCCATACTTCAGTTTAGCCACTGCTTTAAACATCTAAAGTTAATATGTCAAGATTTCTAGTCTTGTTTTATATAGCAAAGTGTTGATTCTACTACTGTTCTAGTTTATACGTTTTCAGTTTTCTTTAAATTACTTCAGAATGAGCTACATATGAATAATTGGTCAACTAAGAAGTTTGTTCAAATTTCCTCAGTCCATAGATTCTCTATATAAGAGGGGAAATGTAAATTTCCTGATTTCTGTTTTGTTTTCCATTGCCTCTTTTAAAAATGCCTTAGAAAAAAAGATGGTTATGAGTTGTGATCCTACCTTCTACCTCATCCTAAGGAACAAGGTGTCCTGCCAACTCTAACACCAAGGCGGCTATTGCAGCCACTCCCTTCTCGTCCCTCTTTCCTTGTCATTTTCTTTTCTTTTCTTTCCTCTTTCCTTTCTACTTTGCCTGCTTTTGCTTTCCACTTATAGTACCATTTAAGGCTAAACAGATGTCTTTAAATTGATTAAATTTGGGCATAACTTTAGAGCCATGGTATAGACTCATTGTAAGGTATGGTTTTAAATCAAAGGCATGATATTCCAATTTAATATTCAAATCATTGATACATAAGGTATTGAGCAACCATGACAAAAAAAAAGAATGCAGTGGATTATGCTCCTACCTATGATCTGGTTATCAATTTTATAGTATCCTGACATCACTGATAAAATTATCAAATAAGTTTAATAATCTTAAAAGGGTAAGGGGAATCAGGTACAAAATTTGTTAAGTGACACTTTAGTAATTAGTAGGAAAGTGTCATTTCTAAAGACTGATTTATTTACCTGCTGATTACTTTTGCATATTTGGCCAAGTTTAATAATTTGTCCCAAAAGTGTCTTGTGGTGGTTTTTTTTTCATCTGTTTTTTATTTTTATTTTTAATTGATTTCAGAGAGAGATAGAAACATCAATGATAAGAGAGAATCATTGATCGGCTACCTCTTGCACACCCCCTACTATGGGTCAAGCCTACAATTCAGGGATCAAACTGATGAACTCAATGCTCAACCACTGAGCCACTCTGGCCAGGCATGTGGTGTTTTTTAAATTATTTTATTTTTACCTCCTTAAGGAAAGGAAAATGCCTAGGTCTTCTGAGACTACACTGAAAACTTATTTAAAAAGAAGGAAGCTCTAGCTGGTTTGGCTCAGTGGATAAAGTGTTGGGCCTGCAGACTGAAGGGTTCCAGGTTCAATTCCAGTCAAAGGCACATGACTGGGTTGTGGGCTCGATCCGCAGTAGCAGAGGAGGGGAGCAGGAGGCAGCCAATCAATGATTCTCTCTCATCATTGATGTTTCTATCTCGCCCTCTCCCTTCCTCTCTGAAATCAATAAAAATATATTTTTTAAAAAGGCAGTCGCCCTGGCCAGTGATGTCAGTGGTTAGAGTGTCAGTCAGCCCACAAACTGGGAGGTCGCAGGTTCAATTCCTGGTAAAGGGCACATGACTGGAGTTGCAGGTTTGATTTGGGGTGTATGTGGGAGGCAACCAGTTGACGTGTCTCTCACATTGATGTCTCTGTCTCTCTTTCTCTCCCCCTCCTTCCCACACTCCCTCCCTCCTGCTCTTCCTCACTTCTACTCTCTAAATGGAAAAAATACCTTCAGGTGAGGATTTAAAAAAAATGAAGGAGGAGGAGGCAGTCTATTTATTATTTAGGACATCTATCTCAAGGCTCAACTGCTATCTCCCTTTTGAGTGGATTGTTAGCCTGACACTTTGCACACAATCTTTTCTTTGAAGCTTAATCTATGTGATATAAAATGTCTGAATCTTTACCTGAATATGTATAGAACCAGGAAGGGAGAAAACTTTTTCTTATAAGAAATTTACAGAGATATCTGGCAATTTTGCAAATATGCTATGTATGCATCTTAGTTAGAGCCTTGATTAATATTATTTTTACTAATATTTTAGAGGGGCCAAATTGTTTGTTTTGATTCAGGTGGAAAATGAGGTTGACCACAGCATTCAGAAAGTATATAAGACCTATAATGGAACCAACCCTGATGCTGCTAGCCGGGCTATTGATTATGTACAGAGACAGGTGAGCTCTCTTGAGGTGAATTTGTTTTTGAGGGCCAATCACTGTTGGGTCAATATGAAACTTACTCTGCTATTACTATGTAAATTAGTCATGTACTTTCACAGTCATGGTTAACTTTATGATGTGTTCAGTGTTTTTATCTTCACCCTTGAAAAGTTGTTTTCCACCATTACCTAGTCAAAGTCAGATAAAATGTATTTGACTTTTCCCCCCAAAATCTAATTAGCCAGAGAGGTGGTGATGGAAGAGAGGTATGTGCCACAGGGAAGGTGGGAGTCCAGATGAACTTAAGAAGAGGTGGGAGATCTTCTTATCTATCTTTTAACAGCAAGACCAGAAAAGGTAACTGAAAAAACAGTAAAAAAAAAAAAAGTATGGACAATTTGAAACATACATGGAAATAGAATAGTATAGTAGCTCTTTATGCTCATAAACCCATCTCCAAAATTGTCAGTGTTTTGTTTGTTAATCTTGTTTCATCTATTACCCCCACATATCTTTTGCTAGATTATCTTAAAGCAAATCACAGACATTTTAGATAAAATATTTTAAACACTCTGTCATTGGAAATAGTATTTAACTCAGAACCAGGTATTTCACATGTAAGATAGGGAGATTTTTCTTAGCTATAAACTACCTCTTGTCAGCATTGTGCTCTTCATATTGACATTCTAGAGGCACTAGCCATATGCAGCTACTTAAATTAAAATAAAAAACTCAGTTCCTTAGTCACACCAGCCGCATTCTAAGTGCTCAGTAGCCTTATGTGGCTAGTGGCTGCCATGTTGGACGTGCAGTCATAGAACATTTCTATCAATGCAAAAAGTTTTATTGGGATATCACTGTTCTAGAGTAACTTAAGGTTCTTCAGTGCACAGAACTCTAAAGTTCAACAAAGGTATATGTATTTTGTGAGGAGTAATATCTCTATTCTCTTTTCCAATAGCTGCACTGTTGTGGAATTCACAACTACTCAGACTGGGAAAATACAGACTGGTTCAAAGAAACCAAAAATCAGAGTGTCCCTCTTAGCTGTTGCAGGGAGACTGCCAGCAGCTGTAATGGCAGTCTGGCCCATCCCTCCAACCTCTACGCTGAGGTAAGTCAGTTCCTTGGCTAAAACTTGAATCTAGCCTGGTAACCTGTTTTTCTCTGAATCATCTCTACCTGGAACTTCTTTTCTACCTTGTTTTGCTTGTCTTTTTTTTAAAAAGCCATCTTAACCATTTTAAAGTGTACAACTCAGTAGCATTGAATATATTCACCACCACCCATCTGCAGAACTCTTTCTCTTTTGCACACTGAAACTCTATGCCCATTAAATAACATTCCATTTTCTCTTCCCCCAGTCCCTGACAACCACCATTCTACTTTGTCTATGATTTTGATTACTTTAGGTACCTCATATAAGCAATCATACAAAACTTGTCATATTGTGCCTGGCTTATTTTTTTACTCACTATGTCTTCAAGATTCATCCATGTTGTAGCATGAGTCAGAATTTCATCCCTTTTTAAGGCTGAATAATATTCCATTGTATAGATAGACCACATTTTGCTTATCCATTCGTTCATGGATGGACACTTGGGTTGCTTTCTCCTTTTGGCTATTGTGAATAATGTTGCTGTGAAAATAGATATGCAGCTATTCTTTTGATTCCCTGCTTTCAATTATTATTTTTTAAGGATTTAAATTATATTATGTACAGATTGTAGTTATAGCTTTTTAAATTTAAAAATTTTTTTCAATTATAGTTGACATACAATATTATATAGTTTCAGATGTATAGTATGGTGGACATTTATATAGTTTACAAAGTGATCTCCCCAATAAGCCTAATAACCACCTGACACTATATATAGTTATCACAATATTATCTATATATATAAAGAGCCAGGGTCCGTAACGTCCACAACGACCAAGGCTCCACTGAACACTGGAAGTTGGTGCTGGGTTGCCGTGGTGACCCAGCACTGACTGCCAAGGGGGCTGTGGACAAGCCCGGAGAGAGGCCAGCAGAGAGAGAGGCAAGGTCTGATCCACAGCCTCCATGGCAGCTGTTGATCAGCCGTTGCCTCTCTCTTTCTCTCCGGGCTTTGCCAGCAGCCACACCTCTGTTTCTCTCCGGCCCTCCCTGGGGGCTGCTGATCAGCCCCGCCTCTTTGATCAGGCCCAGAGATAGGCCTGGAGATGCTGACTGGCATAGAAACTGACCAATCAGAACCAAATCTGGGTGAAGTGCTATGAGCCAATGGCTGGCTAGGAGGCGGAGCTTTTGACCTTGATTGGCATAGAAACCAACCAATCAGAACCTAATCTGGGTGAACTACGAAGGCAGAACCTAAGGTGGGGCCTGAGGAGGGGTTTTAAGGGCAACAGCTGTTTGGTGTAAGGTGTAAGAAAGCGGTTCAATTTTTTAATGACCGCTTTAGCAGTGTAGTGCATATGGCTGGCTATCAGTCCAGATATAGGGGTTATGTCTTTTTGTTTGCCAAGAACATCTCCTCCTGCTGAAAAAGGCTACCCCCTCACCATTTAAGGAATCCTATCCTATATAATCTATCTATACTAATAAAAGGGTAATATGCTAATTAGACCGGGTCAACCGGCCATCTTCTGGATGTCCGACTTCCTTCTGGACAAAGCCATGGTGGTGGGGGCTGAGGCAAAGGCAGTTAGGGGCCATCAGGCCATCAAGGAAGGGAAGTTAGGGGCGAGATCAGGCCGGCAGGGGGTTAGGGGCAATCAGGCCGGCAAGGGAGGGCAGTTGGGGCGAGATCAGGCTAGCAGAGGAGGGTAGTTGGGGGCGAGATCAGGCCGGCAGGGGAGGGCAGTTAGGGGCAATGAGGCAGGCAGGGGTTAGGGGAATAATCAGGCTGGCAGGGGAGGGCAGTTGGGGGTGAGATCAGGCCAGCAGGGGAGGGCAGTTAGGGGTGATCAGGCAGGCAGGCAG